CAACTTGCAATACTTGCAAAGTAGATGTTTAAGGGAGGAAACACTACGAATATGCAAAAGCATTTGCTCACAAAACACGCGATGACCTTAAATGAATGTCGTGTTTTTAATTCCACTCCGGACTCGTGAATCTCAACCCAGCAGCAGCGGTAACGTTTGCACGTCCTCTCCCGTTAATGCGGCAGGTAAATAATCAACTAACAGTGCATATTATGTTAGCACGATCTGCCTTATTACAAAGCTGCCATCACTGTGCATTTAGTGACCCTGATGAGACAGAGTCTGGCTCAGATGCTGGCAGCTCTCGCTGCAGTCTACCGGCAGCGTCTCCTTTCAGGCCAGGATAGACGAATGTCACCGAGCAGTGACTCAGTTTGTGGTCAAAGGCTTGCACCCATTTGCCACAGCAGATGATTTTCAGTAAGTGAATGTGTTTAATTGTAGGCAGGGACATTACTGGATATTCTTGTGTAATTGCTACAGAATAATTAATGTTATACTTTGTTATTGCTACAGAAGAATATTTATTTTATTATTTTACATTTACAGTTTTTTTCCTGGGGACCCTGTGACACCCCATTGAAGAGCCGTAGGCTGTGGATCTCTTAAGATCTCACTGTTGGGTTTGTAAGGCCATGTTGCTCCTAAATTTCTATCTTGTTCAAAGAGAAGATATAAAACAAAGTTCTAAGCTAATCGACCTTAGTGTTCTCCTTTTTAAAAATAATCAATAAAGAATCGAATTGTTAAACAGAATTGAAACTGGAATTGGAATCGTGAAAATCAATACCCATCCCTAGTCTCGTAGGATTGAGGTGTAGTAGACACACTGATGTTTTGGAGAAAGTCATTACTTAAGTTAACTCAGGAAGAAAGATTGGAGAAAGAGTCTAAAGAAGAATAAGCAGTCTACAGACTTCTGTTACGGCAGCTCTGCGCAGTAGTTACTTTTGAGGGAATAATATTATATTCTGTATATTCCTCATGTTGTTTACTTTGTTCTTTTTAATCGTACTATGTGATTGTGACTATCACATCATATTTTGCATCTAAATATCATGTCACACTTGACCTCTGATCTCACTTTTACATTTCACATCTGCCTTTGTTTCAGGTTGACCCCAATCGTTTCCTAGATGTGAAGGCACCAGAGTTTGAAGCTTAGTTTCAAAGACAACAGACATTTTATAAAAGCTGACCTTATTTAACTTTGAGGAAGAGATGAAAGGTCCAAAGTAAGGCGATATGTAGAATCCCTACTTTGGCCTACTGATCTGAAGGTCACATACACAAACACACATGGATGGCATGTTAAAGTAGTACATGTATATAAAGTATAAGAACCAGTCCATGTATGCACACACACTCACCAGGAAGCCAGAGCCCCACAGTCCTGTGGCCCAGGTAGCCTCTCTAGTCACATGACCGTCCAACAGGAACTGGATCTTCAGCTCAGGAACCAGTAGCAGGATGTTGCACAGTATGCAGACAATCGCCATGGGAACTAGAGACACGCCCACACATCGCAGACACCTTGATACGCACATCTAGATTTTTATAGAAACTAAACATGAAAACAGTCATGAGATTAACCGTCGAGTCTCTGAAGGTAAAAACACATCCTTCATAGTATTATCATTTCTTGTAAACCAAATATCTAACATCCGACTCCTGTAATTTTAATCGCATTATCTGACTCTTCTAATATGACTCTGTAATCTTGGTAGTGTGGTTACTCTAATCCAGACCTTCCCAAAGTATGGGGCTACCCCCCAGGGGGGGTGCAGAGCCATTGCAGGGGGGGCGCGGTATGAAAAGGGGTGGAAAAAAAACAACGCTTGGACACTGCTAGCACGGGGCGGCCACAGAAACGCAAAGCAGGAGCTGAAGCATCGCTGAAGCATCGCTGAATATGTTTCCAAACCAACTTCATTCTAAGCCAAAGACTAGAAAATATGATGAAGCAAATCTGCCCTTTGGCTTCACCTGCACAAGTGCTGAGGTAGGTCTCCCTGCAGGGTTGGTTTTCCCTGGGTTCTCCAAATCACGGACAAACAGGATCCCACATTCTTGATTTTTAGTTCACAAACACTTGTTGTAATGACTAACTACTCCTGACATGTTGGAGATGTTAGCTCTTTATACAGTAAAGTTACAGCAGGATGCAAATAACATCAGGCTGATCCTGCCACGATTTGTTCCCTCTGTCACAGACTAACAGGATCCCACAGCTGTTTATGTTTTTGAACCCATTTTGCACAGAGAGGCATTTTTGAAAAATATATTGATGCAATGTTGAACATTATTACACAGGAAAAAACCAACTGCATGTAAAATAATGACACCGTGACGCCTCTGCCTTTGTAAATGGAGGGACAGTAACTGTGTGTAAAACCTGCAGACAGTCAGATTAACAGTATTTCGTCTCTATCTGCCATTCTGTGATTCATCTCATGTAAACAATAACGTGGCCACAGCGTGACGTGAAAAAGGCACATACCTTTGACGTTGCTTGACGAACTCTGTATTCCTTGTCCACACGTAAACGCAAAAACTGAGTTTTAAAAAATCTCACTTTTCGGTGATTCGAAACGCCGTTTAGGTGGACGAAACAGCTGCGTGTTGAAAAACACCCGTGTAGGTGCGGACGCAGCGTAAAAGAGTTTATTTTATTACTACCTGTAATTTATTGCTGTTTACTTGTATTTGCTTAATTGTTTACAAAATGTTTGAGGTGTGAAATAAACCGCAATGGAGCAAAATGTGTGCGTGTGTGGTTGGAGGATGTGTGTGTGCTTGTGCGCACGCGGGAGGGGGGGAGCGCGAACATTTTCCTTGTAAAACAAAGGGGGGCCCAGCAAACAAAGTTTGGGAACCGCTGCTCTAATCTGATTCCTGTAATCTGTTTTTTGTAATCTTGCTCCTATACTCTGACTCTAGTCTGACCCTGTATTCCAGCGCCTGTAATTTGCCGTAATATGCCTCCTGTAATTTGACCCATATAATCTGGTTCTATAATCTCTTTCAATATGACTCCTGTAATTTGACTTTGTGATCGGGTTCCTGTAAAATGAGTCCTCGTTTCAGATTCCTGTTATTGGATTCCTCTAATTATGCTGTGATGTGACTCGTTTAATCTGGTTCTTTAAAAACTTATTTATAAACTTACAAAATCATCCTTGAAATGTCATTGAAATAATCACATTCATATTTCTGTCAATATCAGTAAAGTCATAGTCTGAGTCGAGTCTGAATTCATTGAATAATCATTATTAATAATACAAACCTGTTTAAATAAAAACATTGATTCAATCATACAGATTAATAATCACTCATTCTTCAATCCTCGAGTGTTTAAATCACTAAATAATAATATAATTACAAAACTGTGTGATCATGTATCATTCAGGTCCAATCTCATCAAAGTAAAAGCATGAATAAAGGCTCCTTCTATTTGCACTTATATGTTGAAATTATTAAACCCATTTACAAATATAATTTCTCAGTTTTTAGTTTATTTAGTAAGATGATTTTTTAAATCTGTGACAGTACACAGACTTTGAGCAACAGTAATATGTTTCTATTAATAATAGCAGAAGTCGACTCACCGGGAAGGCTGACTGATGATCCACTTCAGACTCTGAGGAACAACCACAAATATCTATCAGCACATGCACCAGGACACGCCTCCCGCTATTACGCATTCAGGAAGTACAAAAGATGGAAACTTACCCTCAACAGGACCGGCTTGGTATCAAACTGGAAAAACAGAAATAAACAGGATGAAATCAGACCTACAAACACACACATGATGCGACGCAGCAGCTGGTGATTCTGCTTCTGTAGCTCAACACGAGGAGGGAGGTTTTTCAGGGTGGATTCCTATTAGTCGATTCTGTCACCACTGATCGTGACTGGTCAGCCGGACGGCATAAAGGTAGAACATGACTGGTCCCGATTACATCGAGGCCTTGAAAGACACGATATATTAGAAGGTAATTATTTGGAGGTTTTGGTGCATTTGTAGACAGAACTAAGTTCACAGCTCCAGAGGCTGGACTGAGAAAGACCTCCTAACAGTCAGGAGGTCAGAGGTCACAGGCCACTCAAAGATCAAATCAGTGCCTGTTCAGCTCAGATGTTTCTGCTGCTTTTCTCTGTAATCAAATCAAAGAGTTTTATTGTCACAGCACATGTGAGTGAAATTCTTGTGTGCCAGCTTCACAAGCAACAGCTGCAAAATGCAAGAAACAACCAAATATAAGAGCAGGAATGTGAGAATGATGAGACGTATGCAGGTTACTAGATACGTATACTCATTCATCCCATGTGTGTGGGTACAGACAGCAGCTGGTTCTCAGCCCACAGTGGACAGGCGAGCTCACACTAAATACTCCAGAGCGAGCGCCCGAGCTCATGTGAGTGAAAAAGAAAAATCTCAGTGAGACATCAGTTTCTGTGCCGCCTGTACGTCAAAGAGGCCACGCCCCTAATGCTACAAACTTTAAAGCTTAAACAGGTAAGATACAAAAACATCCTCTTCTGATGAACTAGAGTCAACTTTGGTCCACAGCAGCGTCTCCTCTGGAGTTTTTGAGTCGCAGTCCGAGGAACCTAAATGGCGAGCCGAGGCGCCCGCGTTGAAGCATCCTCATCAATCAGGCCTGATGTGGTCGACTTCCTCACATTTTCTCGTGGAGCTCATTAGGTCACACAGCGGAAACCATGACTCCTTGGGGATGTTGACATCAGTTACCAAGGTCACATGACCGCAGGGAACGCAGAAAGCCGTGTGGCGATGTAACTTCCTGTTAGACCATACGCAGTGACCTGGTTTCTGACCCCGAGTCTCTGACCTGCTGATGCTTTCTGTTCCTCAGTCTGAGGTCATGTCAAGTCAAAGTTTATTTATATAGCACATTTAAAAGACCAGTGTACATCAAAGTGCTTCACGATAAAACTGCAATGCGGGCAGAACAAATAGTACAATTATACTTAAAATTGCATTTACATGGTGTAGTGCAGGCCGAATGAAAGTCACACTAATTGTTTTCAAAAGCTAAGTTGAACAAGTGTGTTTTCAAACGGGATTTGAACGACTGAATTGATTCCGATGGACAGATTTCCACTGGGAGATTTTTCCAGAGTCCAGGGGCAGCGATGGCAAAAGCACGGTCACCTCTGGTTTTTAAACGAGACCACTGATTACATTAGGAGCAGTTGGCTGGAGGATCTTAGTGCTCTCTTTGGGTTGTACAGATCAAGCAGATCAGTTAGGTAGCTAGGGGCCAGGTTATTTAGAATTTTAAAAGTGAGCAGCAGTTTGAAATTAATGCGATATTTGATGGGAAGCCAGTGTAGTTTAGCGAGGACAGGGGTGATCTGCTCATGCATTCTGGTGCTGGTTAAATGGTAAATGGCCTGTATTTGTATAGTGCTTTGCTTAGTCCCTAAGGACCCCAAAGCGCTTTACACATCCAGTCATCCACACATTGGCGATGGCAAGCTACATTGTAGCCACAGCCACCCTGGGGCGCACTGACAGAGGCGAGGCTGCCGGACACTGGCGCCACCGGCCCCTCTGACCACCACCAGTAAGCAACGGGTGAAGTGTCTTGCCCAAGGACACGACAGACTGTCCGAGCCAGGGCTCGAGCCGGCCTAATTGATAAAAGCTTTTTTTTTTGCACAGTGGATGCTTGCTTCTTTAATTTAAAAGAACTATCCATGAGCACGCCGAGGTTACTGGCAGAATGAGAAAGGTGGTTGGCGAAAGAACCCATTGTATCAGTTAGCTGGCCCAGGGAAACGCAGCTATCAAAACAATAATTTCTGTTTTGCTTTCATTTAAGATAAGAGAATTCTGGGATAGCCAGTCTTTTAACCACCTGCAGACATTCAAACAAAGGCAAGAATGTGGACGGGACATCCAAATTTAGAGGAAGGTACATTTGGATATCATCTGCGTAGCAAAACCATCTAAAGGGTTCAAAAGTTTTACAAGCTGAAGTGTGATCTGTGTTTCTCTGCTTTTCCAGCCAATCAGGGCACAGTACCTCAGTCACTTTGTAATGTCTAACGTTTACCTGGATTCTTTATTCTTCTACCTGTGGCTCACCTGTGGGAGCAGCCAGCAGACCCACAGTCCTCGCTCTGACTGCTGGATCGTTTCACACGGTTTTCGTTTATTCATGTATTTAACGTCAGTGTTTAATATGTCTCTCTCACACACACGTACACACACACACACACACAGCTGTATGTGCAGATCTACATAGAATTAACTCTACTGTGAGACACACGTGATGTCATAGAGAGGCTCCACTGATGCTCCTTTGGGCAAAATAGTGAATGGGGAGTTGCTCATTCGTTAGTGTCAGAAAACAGGAAACGATGATGGTGATGGTTTATTTCTCAGAAAAACAAATGACAAACAGGTTGACATGGCAGCCTCTTTAACCCCTCCTACTGTGGCCATGTGCCGCTTAACCAGGTGAGTGCTGCATTCAGGTGACCCTGAGACAAATAGAAACTCCCACTTTCAACATTCAAACCATAAAAATAAATCAGATGTAGCGTCACATGACCCACTGCAGTCAGCATGCAGCGTATCCCACAATTCCTCACATTCTATCATGTGACACCAGTGACATCAGCAACAACACTAAGGAGACACATTCACACACCACCTGACCAATCATCAACACGTTAACCAGACGTGGACGGGCTCTGGGCGGAGTCACAGAAGCTGGGGCTGGAAATATAATGGTGAGTCGGTGTCATCTGGCAAATGGGTAAAAATAACCTGACGGCACTGAGTCCTCGCCAGCGCTTCCACCAGTGAGAAAGAAGCATTCCAGCTGAATGACGTGCAGAGGCATGAAGTCATCCTCCAGCAGAACTTTTCAAAGTAAAACACATGAACTCTGTTCACAATTCCCCAGTGGACGGTCACTGCCATCACATCTGTGGACCGCCGTGTGCTCACCATGACGACTCACAGGTAAGAGGCAGCGGCGTGTCCACAAACTTCTGGTCTTCTGTGTTTTAAAGTAACAACAGCGCTCAGGTTGACAGCTCAATTTATTCATGCTCCTGCAGGAAGGGGAGGAGGAGCAGGCAGAGGACACCTCAGCTGCTGAAGAACATCTCAGTCAAAAGAGTCTGTTTGCTCCCCTTCCCTGAGCAGGAGGAGGAGGAGGAGGCAGAGGGCTTGGCGGTACAGTTCTTTGGCGTTCTCCTGCAGGGTCTTCCTGGCATGATGGAAGCGCAGCCCTCCTCTTCCTCGGCTCGTCGGTGTGGGCGGAGCTGGTAGGCGTCTGTGGAACCTTTGCTTCTGTCAGTGGCACGCCGTTTCTCCTCCTGGTCGAGCTGCTTCTGTAGGATGAAAGCGAGCCGTCTGTCCTCCTCCTCCTGCCTCCTCCTCTCCTGTAGCTCCTGTTCGGCCGCCTCCAGCAAGGAGAAGGAAGAGGAGCCAAGGAAATGGGCAGAGACTTGCTTGGTGTCTGCTGTCACCTCCTCTGTGGCCTCCAGCTCCGAGCTCTTCCTCTTCACTGATGAACATCCTCCGTCTCTGATTGCCTGACTCCCTGGCTGATGCTTGGCCACCTCCTCGGGTGGGCGGAGCTCAGCCTCAGGCCCATAATAATCCAGCTGAGGTGGTCTTTGTTCTGCCGGTAGCGCTGCCTCTGAAACAAGGATGTTCTCCTGAAACAGAAAGGCTGTTGTAATTTGGTGTTATATAAATAACACTGAATTGAACAGAAGTTCAAACTCACCTTGTTGGACACAAGGCTGGAAGCGGAGCTAATGGTGGAGCTGGGTGGAGCCACTCGGGGGCACAGGAACCTGAAACAACAAATAGAGATGTGTGAGGTCATACAGATGGCGTTCCCGACACAGTGAGTCGTTTGTCCACGTTTGAGGAGGCACTTCCTGCTCAGCGATTTTAATTTCAGTTTGATGTCACATACTTTCAAGATGGCGCTGAAGCGACGGCGGCCTTTTGTCTATTCCAAGTCAAAGCCGCTGGCACTAAATACAAAGGCACAGACCGGCATGTGGCACAGCATACTGGCCAAGCTACAGAGGCCACGAGACGGGAGCGAAGCTGAAAGTGAGGAAAGCAGATCACCGGAGGCGATTCGAACCATCAATCCCGACAGAGACAGTGGGCGACGTGAACTCGCTACAGAACAAGATTGACAAACTCTCTGCTCAGAACAACCATCCGATCTACCGTGACTGCAGCTGCCTATGAGGAAATACACACAGCAAGACTGCAGACACAACACCCCGAAGCCTTCATTATTATATGTGGAGACCCTAACCATGTCACACTGGACTGTTTGTGGTCCCACACGGAGAAACAGGACAACTGGCCTACTGTATGCTAATGTGAGACATGCATACAAAGCCACCCTCTCCCCCCCACTAGGGAAGCCAGACGAGTGAGAACAAGCTGTCGCTGAATGTGGACAAAACCAAGGAGACTTCAGGAAGACTCGCTCCACCCACACACCACTCAGCATCCACGGTTCCACATTAGAGACTGTTAACAGCACCAAGTTCCTGGGAGTACACATCTCAGATGACCTCACCTGCACCCCTAACACCAAGTTAAAGTTCAAGGTTCTTTATTTGTCACATGCATAGTTATACAAGTATAACACACAGGGAAATATAGCCTGACACGCTCCTCGACATGTACAAAGAAATGGGGGGGGGGAAGAGTAAGAACATATATACACACACACACACACACACACACACACACACACACACTGGGTGAATGTGCAGTAGTAGCAGCAAGCAGGTGAATTCTGTACATTAATATGAATAGACATCTGACTATTTTACAGGATAGACAATATAAACATATTTAAAATTAAAGGAATTGAAATGTACATTGTGCCTTGGTTTAGTGTCTGGAAGAGTCCTGTCTCAGTCAATTATAGATGATGTGAGAGGGCGGGTGTGTGTGTTTAGGGCACGGATGGCTTGGGGATAGAAGCTCCTCTTGAGTCTCTCTGTCCTTGCCCGGAAGATGCGGAACCTTCTACCAGATTGCAGAAGTTGGAACAGTTTGTTGCCAGGATGGGACGGGTCCTTCAGTATCTGCGCTGCTCTAGTCCGGCATCTCCTGGTGTAGGTGTCCTGAAGCGGGGGGAGAGCAATCCTGCAGCAGCGTTCTGCTGTACGGATCACTCTCTGGAGAGCTTTTTGCTCCTTCACACCAAAAAGCCACCACCACCACCTCCATCACCAAAAAGGGCCAGCAGCGCCTTCACTTCCTGAGACGCCTGAAGCGGGCCAGCCTCCCTCCTCCTACCCTCACCATGTTCTACACCACAGAGCTGACGAGCTGCATCCCCATTTGGTTTGGAAACTGCCGGCTACAACGGATTGTCAGAGCAGCTGCCGAGGTCATCGGAACATCTCTCCCTCTGCTACAGGACATCTTTCACAAACGCTGCATCAGTAAGGCCTCCTGCATCATGCGTGACCCCTCACAGTCTTTTCCCTCCTCCCATCCGGCGGACACTATCGCAGCATCTGGGCCCGATCCTCCAGACTGCGAGACAGCTTTTTCCCATCAGACTCCTGACCTCACTACCAGCTGCCCCACTCCCCCTCACCACACACACCCTCACAAACCACTAACTGAGTCTATTGCACTCCACATACTGCTACCTTTGTAAATACAGATGGTGCTCTATGGACACTCCTGCTCATGTTGATCACTTTAAATCACTCATGCTGTAAACTGTAAAGCTGCTACGTTGGTCACTTCAAGGCCACTTTAAATCTGAATTATAAATGGTAAAGTTAGACTGTTATTGATCCTTTTTAGCCTTCTTTCTCTTCCTATTTTTATTGTTTTTTTGCACTGAATGGAACCGGAGCCTCGCCGTCTCTATATACTGTACTGTATATAGCAGAGATGACAATAAAGTTTACTTTGACACACTCCAGGTCATGTGACTCTAACCAGTCTTTCTCAATGACCTTGATCTTTAAAACGGTCGCTTACTTCTCGATGTGTCCCACAGAGGCCGCCTTCTTCTTCTTCAGTGGTGTCACAGCAACATGACCCCTGTCCTCGAGAGGAGGGGGGTTCTGCCGAGGAGGGAAAGAGAGGGTGATAAATTTCCTCAGAGAAAGAATCTACCAACTGATCACTGGTTAACAAGCCGAGACGCTTCAGTTTCTGATTTTTAATCAAATATTGGGGATTTTCTGTGAGGCATCTGTATCTATAAGCCTCTCCCAGTGTGGACCAACCACTGACCAGCTGATCACTGAGCAGTCTGGCCAGCCGCTCGTCTTCGTCCCTCCTCTTCCTCTCATCCCGCAGCAGCTGCTCTTCCTCAGCCAGCAGCCTCTGGATGTACTCCTCACTGGCCTTCCTCTCCTCCTCCTGCAGCTCCCGCTTCTCCTCGGTCAGCTGAGAGAGGACAGACACACCTGAGATTTACCTGAATGACCAAAGTCTGTTCATCAGGAGGTCCGATGCGGACTGACCCTTACACCCATCAGTATCTAATCAGCATCCTCTTTGGGTCAGATGACACACAAACCAAAGGCCATCATCACAACAGATCTCGTGCACATTATAAGGAAATTCCAGGACCTTTTCAGACCTTTAGGCCGAGACATCAGAGTGAGAGCACTGACATGTGAAAGTCAGTGACGCACACACAGGAGAATGTGGATTCTTATTACACAAATGTGTTTAACCCACTGGAGGGTGCTACTGCAGGCTGAGAGCTTCAGTCACAGGTGAGAATAACTACAAATGTGTTATGGTCACGCCCACCAATGGCTGAGCGGTCAGCTTTCACTCAACAACAGCATTTATGGTGAACGATCGTTTCTTAAGTTGCTAAATTTAATTTTGTTTTTCCTCATTTGAACCAAGATTTGAAGTATTTAAGTTTTATTAGTTTTATCAGTGATTTAGATCATTTATTAGAGATTGTAAAGTAAAAGTACACATTAGCATAAACTCATAAACAAAGGTACACAATGACACATCTTAATAACTTATATTATTACCAAGGATGAACATTATGAGCAGCCTGTGAATAAGACGTCTGACCACATAAGCTGACACCGCAAAAACACAACAGCAGCAGCGATGATGCTGGCAGGGTTTAACGTGGAGGCGGAGTCTGTTTATACCACCAAGCGTAAAGAGGCAGAGCCTTACTGAGACTGAAGGCAGATATCCTATCACATGTGGAAGCAAACAGGGGTGAATCTAAAGGGGGGCATGGGGTGTATTGCAGCTGCAGCCCTACTCACAGCTGCTACGAAACACATTTAAAAAAATAATTGTAAAAGTAGAACAGTCACAGGGTTTTATCTCCTCGCCATCAAACCTGTAGTCCCTCATCAGCGTCCCCTGCTGCCCTGCACAGCAGCAACGCGCCCACTTCGCCAGCTCTGACCCGGCTCATCAGCAGTAATTATTCGTCTCTTCACTTCCTACAGTTCCCTAAATATTTACTGATCAGCTTTGGCCCACATTAGAGCAGCCTTGACGTCACAATGCCTGTAAACAGCCAGGTGTGCCGTATTAGTGGTTTTACATTCATTTCTATGGAGTCCAAATTAAGTCCCTGGGGTTCTTGTGTAACACTGAGGCTTCTGCACATCCTCACACATCCAGAGCAAAAGACTGTGTGTGTCTTGAACTCACTTTGGTGATCTGGTCCTCATACTCTTGCCTCAGCTCTCCAGGTTCACTAACTCTGCGGAAACACACCAATGCTGCCCATGCGCGCGCACACACACACACACACACACACACAGGGTTCAACATCACATTGACCTATAAGAAAGCAGCTCTGCATAGTTCACATTTCAGAGTAATCCTTCTTTTTCTGAGCTTCCGTCAAACATGCTGTTTGCCCCTCACCCTTTACAAAAGCAGTACCTTTTCTGATTGGCTGCCCCTCACAAACTGCAGTTTTGAGCCAAAGATTTGTGTCCGCGTTACCTGAGTGGGGGTCCTCGGCCTCACCCTGCCCGCTGAGGCGATGCTCGCACTGTCGGGGGAAGCAGGTTTGGATCCGCCTCCACAGTGTTTCGTTCACTAGCGTGTTGTTCCTGCTGTGTAACCTAGCCCAGGTGGAAACCCTCTTCCTGCACATGGGACAGCACAGCGTGGCTTTATCCACCGACTCCAGGAAGCACACCTGCACAGGTACACACACAGTCAGGCCCAGTTCTGCCGGAGCGCCCTGAGGAGAAGTCATATGACTGTAATGTGTGAGGTCAGGCTGAAGGTGCTGGCATCCAGCAGACCTTTGACCTCTGACATGAAGATCAGCTCAGGAGGCTAAACGCCATCAGTCCAGTCACTGATTGGCCATTTAATTGGCTGCTGTTGGCCTGTTAAGGTTAGAATGCAGGTGTGTGACTGGTGGAACTGAAGCAGAAGGAGCTGAAGCTCTCATCGGGTCAGTTATAATTCACTTTATTTAAAACCACGTCTTCAGTCACAGGAAATGAATAAGCCTGATGATGTCATTCAAGGACAAAATGGAAACACACACACAAAAAAGGTCCTGACTACTGCGACACACGCACGCACACCCCCTAACCTGTCTGTGCACACACCTGCTGGTCGTGCAGGTAACTTAACACACCTGAGCTACACGCACTCATTGTGTGTGCGTGTTACCTTGCAGAAGGTGTGTGTGCAGGGCAGTGTGACGGGCTCCATGAAGACCTCGAGGCAGACGGGACACAGACAGTCTTCTTTGGACAGCGTAGTCTCCTGGCCCCGCCCCCCTACGTCCGAGCCCTCAACCTCTGACGCCGGAGACATCTTCCTCCTCCTCTTAGACGTTACAGCTCAGCAAGGAAGGACCTAAACAAAGAGGAACTCAGTGAGACAGGTAGTACTGTACTTCCTCTCTCCAGGATTGAGCTGTCAAAGGAAACGTACTCGATTACTGCTCAATACTCCCCCCTGTGGCAGCTAGAGCCCGCTGCTGACCTCTGACCCCAAGGTCCGCGAGCCAGTAAACAATCCATTCCTACAACAGCACCTAACGGGGTCAAAGTTAAGCTAGCTCAGGTGTCTGTGTTTCGGAAGTATGCCGTCACGATTACTTGGACTCACCTGAGCAGCCGGGCCGTTTAAAGCTTCCGTTGACGCTGACGTTAGCTTCGTGTTATATCCGAACTAGCAGCGGTTCGTTGGCGGATTAAACCGCGGAAAAAACAGCGCCAAACTTATTTTTTCACCCCGGAAACAAACGGGGCTCATGGGAAACTGCCACGCTTTACCTGAAACCAACGGTTGCACGAAGACTGTCTGAGTTTGCCGGAGTTTAACCGACTTTACTGCAGCTAACCAGCTAGCACTGAACACCCGCGTGAACAGGCTGTTGGCACAATGCGCATGCGCTTTGGACCAAACAATTTTCCCTCCCTCTCTCGTCGCTTTCGTCTTCTTCTTCTTCGTGGATTAACCCAATTCTCACGGAGCGCCCCCTGCTGTTCACAGCTCTACAAGCTCAGCGGTTTACTGTAAATAACGTACACAAACCAGAGATACCGCAGCGAACCCATGATAGAATAGCCTTTTTTGTCATTGCAAGTGTGGGTGCTCCACACCGACTGTGCATGGAATAAAAATATAATAAGTAAGACATCAGTAATTAATTACAGACAAGAGGAGTGTTTGTTTACAGTTTGAATGGCCCAGGTGAATAAGCTGTTTGTGAGTCTGCAGGTGTGGGACCAGACTGACCTGAGTGCCGTCAGGTGGTGAGCAGGGTGCGAGGGGTCAGCTGTGATGGACCTGGCGATGGTCCCAAGGGGTATCAGAGGGCAGCCATTAATTGTTTTGGGCAGTCTTTAGTACTAAAACCACACAAGTATTGCAGTTAATGTATGATACTTAAGATGTTAAGTAGTAAATCTACTCCCACCACTGCTGTAAAGACGAGTTGCTGAAATGCAGGAGCCAGTCAGGCTTTCTGTCTGGGTCTATGGCTGGTTAATGAGCTCGGAGTGGAAGATTGCTGCCGCTCCTCCTCAGCCTGTGTTTCGAGGATTCTGACAGTTAGAATGACTCAGTGGTGTTGATTAAATGACACAAACATGACCATCCTGCCCTCTGTAAGGTAGAATATTCTTTAATAATAATAATAATAATGATGGATTGGATTTATATAGCGCTTTTCAAGGCACCCAAAGCGCTTTACAATACCACTATTCATTCACTCTCACATTCATACACTGGTGGAGGCAGCTACAGTTGTAGCCACAGCTGCCCTGGGGCAGACTGACAGAAGCGAGGCTGCCATATCGCGCCATCGGCCCCTCTGGCCAACACCTTTTTACTCCATCATCATTGAATCTGTCCTTACTTTCTCTGTTACCACCTGGTAGTGATGGCTCGCTTGAAGCTGACGCTCCGGTGCGTGTGTCACTGTGTCGAAGCTTGATTCGTTTGCCCAGAGTCACGTGATCGGTGACGTCCGAAGCTTCATTTAGAGCGTGACTGCTTCGGTGTCTGATTCAATGGTTCATAAGGAAGCGAATCATTCGCGGGATTTGTGGAGTGTTTGATGGTGACAGATAGCGAACCACTGATATTTCTACTGAGAGATTTGGAGCCAGCGAGGAATAGAGGAGGTTCTGTTGTGTGGGAGTATTTTGAGTTGATTTTGGTCGATCAGGTGGGTTTTCCAGCTTTGTGTTCTGGCTGTTTGCTTTTGTTTTGTGCGTGTTTATTTTATCTGACAACGGGAAAAACTTAAAATGTCAAAAATCCGTTTTTCATAATATAAATATCATCAAATAACTTTAGAAAAACTTCAATTTGACTCGTTACATTTAATATTAAAAAATATATATTTTTTATTGTTTAATTAATCTTAAAATGTTAGTCTGCAAAATGTGCAGCAATTTAATTTATTTATTCTCTTTAGCTGATAGTTTGTGGGGTAGACTGTATAACTGCATCTCTACCAGTTTCTCTGCACTCCAGCCTCCTCTGTGCCATGTGAAGGGATTTTCCTTAATGCAGAAGAAATTATCTCCACGAAAAGGAGATCGGCCATCGCACAGTGGAACTAATTTTCTTCTTAAATAAAAATGAAAAAGGGCTACCTTAAATGCATCATGTTTTTAATTCGCAAGTTCATAAGCATTTTCCATTTCACAATCAGTTCTACCCCCAGGTCAGAAATATGTATAGGAAAATTTCCCTAATATAATATTACTGATAAATACACCCATCTTGCGATTAATTTCATAAGTGCATGGAGGCAGGACCTCACAGCATTATAATATGTATATTATATGTAACGTGGTATTTTTCAATTATTGTATTTACCAACATCAAGACATCACAAGCAAAGAAAGACCACACCATGGTGCATGTTTAAACAAGGAGAGTTTACTGGTCAAAACTATTTATTAAACAAATAAATCACATTTTTTTAACCCCCCAAAATAGACGTTCAAAGCAACACAGCGGCGGCCCAATATCAGGCAGAACTCCACTCTGTCGAGTGAGCAATCATAATGAAGCAGTTGGTTTTATTTTGTGGATTCAAGCTGCTCTTCATATTTTTGGCCACCAGATGTCACCAGAGAGGACTGTGTTGAAAAGCTTCGAGTAATGAACCGTTTTTCAATACAAGCTTCAGAAAGCTTCATTTGGCCATCACTACCACCTGGTAAGCTGCTGTCTCTGCCAAGGACCAAAGCAGAGTGAAGCCGCTCCTCCGAGAAGACGATTGGCTGCAATCCCTACAACACCTGAACAGGAAACTGAGGCTACAGTTCCCAGACTCACCAAAATTGGACCACAAAATGAAAAAATGTTTTCCGATCTGATCATGATTTCTGCAGCAAAATTTAAATGTTTGGTGTAAAGATGAAAGCATGGATCCACCCTGCCTGCGCCAGTGCTCAGACTGCTGCTGATGTGATGGTATAGGGCAGATTTCCAGTACCAGCTGAACATCATTGAACTCCACAGCCTACCTGAGTGTTATTGCTGACCACGTCTGTGGGTTTATGACCACAGTATATCATTTCCTGATGCTGCTTTCAGCACGATCACACAGCTCATCTCAAACTGTTTTTTTGAATATGACAGTGAGGTCAGTGCACTCAGCCTCCACAGCCACAGTCCTGTGATTGTTCAGCACTCTAACAGGTTCTAAATGCAGTCTCCATAGCACGTTCTTCTATTTCATCTTCAGATATGTTGAAATGTAGGTACTAACTGCTGCAGACATGTCCACACTGTCTCCCCTTTATTTATTTTTAGCGTCTGCATCCTGTCAGCTGATCATTACCTATAAACATTAAATCAAAAGGTCAAATCTGAGCTTCATCATTTGTCTCGCACTACTGAGCTTCATCTGAAAATGAAAGCTAGATAAATGTCTGATTAAAGCTGGTCTCTCTTCTGATGTTTGTAGATCAACATCACGTTCATGGATTTAAATGGGAGTTCCGCTCTTTACTTACCTGTTGCTATAGAGAATCGTTGCATAAGAGCTGCACTGATATTAATCACGTATGTGCTTAATATCAGTGCAGCTGTCTGATTTGAACCTACTTCCTGGATGAAGACTCTGCTCGTACACTCAATGTGACTTCAACTAATCACATGTAATTTTTAGCTTTAGCTACATAAGTCTGCACATTGAATTTAATGGACAAAATGTATTTGATTGGTAGACATTACCTTTGACACATTGCAGCTGCATTTTAATCTGAATTATTACTTCACGTTCATCGAGGGCAGAAAAATCATTTTGAAGCTGGAGCAGCACATCCAATAAAAGCTCGTCAGTCAAAGGAGGAGGAGTTTTATTCTACACACTGAAACACAGCAAAGTCATTTTTTCACAGATGAAACAGAAACTAAATGTTTATTAGAGCTGCTTTCATCTGATTCCTCTTCTGTCACTGACTGAGGTCAAGGTCTGTTTGATTTTGTCAGCTGAACTTAAATCACCACGACCAGGTGAGATGCCAGGTGAGAGTCAAAGTCCATTTAGAAGAGTTGTCATTTTACCTCCTAAGGCTGGAGATGCTGTCAGGGCCCAGCTACTCTTTACCTTTGTTTTAGATTTCAACCCGAGACATGCGGGGGCATCAGGGGAGTGTGCGAGGTGGTTTTGCAGCAGAGATCAAACATTTTCTGTGTCGCTGACTTTAACAGGGGATAAAAAAAAACAGAAACGCCAAAGGAACAAACCAGCCAATCAATGCCGGCTTCAAGAGGTGGATGGACACACTCCCTAAACACAATTTGATGTTGATGTGCCGGACACAGTCGCGGGGGGTGGACTCAGCGGGAATTGTCTGGGTTTTCCCGCTGGCCTGTTTCTGTGTCACTGTGCCGTGAATTCGTGCGTCCATGGGAACGCGTCCGTCTGCTTCCTGTGCTTGCTGGCAGAATCGCGCGAGTCGTGCTCGCTGTCTCCACAGCGGTGTTTCTTGAGCTGGCGTGAGTCGGAGAAGCCCCGCCCACAGCGTTCGCACGAGTACAGCTTGACACCGGTGTGGATCTGCATGTGAGACTTCAGCTGGTTGGACTGGCGGAACTTCCGGCCACACACAGCGCACTCGTACGGCTTCTCGCCGGTGTGCACCAGCAGGTGGCGGTGGTAGTTCTGAGGCGTCCTGAACTCTTTGCCGCAGTGCTCGCAGCGGTGAGGTTTGACACCTGTGTGCAGAAGCTCGTGCTGCTTCAGCTGCGATACCAGCAGGAAGCCTTTGTGACAGACAGCGCAGACGTGTGGCCGGTCGCCGCTGTGCTGCCTCAGGTGGTACAGGTACAGGTGACGCAGGTGGAAGGCTTTCCCACATGTGTCGCAGGTGAACTCTTTGTTTTGGGCGTGGCTCTTCTCGTGCGTGCGCAGCGAGCTGCTGCTGCTGAAGCTCTTTGGACAGACTTTACAGCTGAACGGTTTGACTCCGGTGGACCGCCGCCTGCCCGCCTCCCCGCCGGACTTTCCCCGATCGCCACCGCTGCCGTGAACCAGCTGCTGGTGCTTCTGCAGCTGGCAGTTGTAGAAGAACGTCTTTCCGCACAGGTCGCACATGAACGGCTTTGCCACGCCGTGAACAAGCATGTGAGTCTTCAGAGCCCAGGTCCCTGTGAAGCCTTCGCCACACTGATCACACCTGAGGAAGGAAGGACAGGTGAGGAAGGGTCAGAGGTTAAAGAAGACGCAACTCACAGAAATCAACACGATCTTGATGTTTTGAGTGATCAGCACACAACACAAAGCAGTGTTCACCGAGTGCTCAGGGCCGTCTGTAGTGCTGTAGGGCTTTTACTGTGCAGTGTTAATCACTGCGAAGTTGGCCCATATAAATAAACCTGAACTGAACCGAATGAACAGGAAAGCTGACGCTGGTATTTCTCGTGTCTGCCTGCAGCGCCGTGCCGCGCTCTGTTGGCGGTTCACTGGTGGATGTCAGCAAACAACCCCCCCTCTGCTTCATGTTTGACGTTACATTGAAGCACTCATAAAATCCACGATCACCTTAGTTAATCAGTTCACCTGCAGTCGCATAAGTCTAGTCTTCCTGCTAAGGACCGCGCTGATGCTGTTCACCTGTACACCTCACTCAGGTGCGTTAAGAGACACAGGCGAGCGTTTCGCCCGAGGGTCAGAGTGCGCCCTGGAGCAGCGCGTGTATGTGACCCTGGATCGTTCAGGTGTGTTTTTTTGTCAGATGTTGTGAGTTGAGTCAATAAAAAGCAGAGATTTCTGTCAAATACCGAAACAGACTCGCTGAGACCCAGAAAATATACGTTATCGTTCGGGGCCTCGTACCTGAAGGGCTTCTCCCCGCTGTGTAGCCTCAGGTGTCTCTGGAAGTTGTATTTGAGGCCGAAGCTCAGGCCACAGGTGGCACAAGTAAAGGGTTTCTCTCCCGAGTGGACCACACGGTGCTGCAGCAGCCCCATCCGGCACTTGAATGCCTTGTCACACTCGTCGCACTTGTACGGGCGTTCCTCGGAGTGCGACCTTTTGTGCACGCGCAGGTTGCTGGCGGTGGAGAAGCTCTTGGCGCAGGTCTGGCAGGAGTACGGCCGTGCCCCGGTGTGCACGGTCTGGTGCTCCCGCAGGCTCTTCTTGCGCGTAAAGCTCTTTCCGCAGACGTCGCACATGAAGGGCTTGACTTTGGCGTGCGACACCTCGTGGTATCGCAGTGCCCCACTGGAGGTAAAGGTGCGGTCACATGCGTAGCACTTGAGTGGTGTTTTCTCAAGCCGGTGACAGGCCTGGTGCGCTCGAAGCTGACGTGGCAGCCTGAACTTCCTGTCGCATTGGTCACAGCGCAACAGCTTGTCTGGGTCGCTCTCCTGCGCCTCGCGGAGACGGTGGGCGAGCAGGTGGCGCTGCAGCGTCTGCGCTTTGTAGAAACCTTTGTCGCAGGAGCTGCAGGGGAACGGCTTCAGGTGGCACGCGGCGTGCTTCAGCAGCTGGTGCTTCTGATGGAAGCCTTTGTCACACAGCTCGCAGAAAAACCTCTTCTCCTTGTACAGCTCCCTCCTCCGCCTCCTCTCCTGCTCCTTCTGCTGCTCCTCGCTCACACCTGAACAGTAAGACAGACAGGAAGTCAGAGACGCTGCAGGTTTGACAAACAGAAGCGACTGATTAATGGACCATCAGCTGTTCTGAAGGACGACCTCATCAAGATCCTCACGTACTAGGTCTTGAATAATCAGGCCCCATCTCATCTTAATGTAGCGTATCACGCCATTAGAGCACATCGCTCTCACACCACAGGCTCAGCTGTGGTTCGCACAGTATTTAAAAGTAGATGGGAGGCAGAGCTCTCACCTGTCGGACCCCCGGGCACCTGCTGATCATCATGTTTCTGTTCTGCAGGTTCAGACTTCGTCTCTGCTGCCTGGAAAACGCAATGGTATTATTGGTCACCACATACAGAACCATCAACCAGTCAATCAACCAGTTTGAAGCAGCTGTCATCACTCACAGCGTCACACTGCTCTTCGTGGGTTTCATCACCTGGAAGCTCAGCGGCCGGCTGATCCTCACAGTCAGGAAGTGATGTCACATCTGCAGGCTGGATCATATCACGTGACACCTGAGGATCTGCAGAGAAGTGCGTCATGTCCAAAACACTCACAGCACCATTCTGCAGTGCGGTCAGATTGTTTTGGCCTGTGACTGGTGCGTGCACCGGCGGGCTGAGGATGACCACAGCCACAGCAGCAGTGGCAGCAGCTGATTGGACATCCAGAGACAGGGTGGGTGCATCTGCAGGAGAAACCAAATGAGTTTCCTGTGAGACTTTAACCCGGGCTTTTGAGCTGAATGACTGTTCGACCTTTGACCCTGGGTCTCACCTGCCGGGCTGAACTTCACCGCCGATTTGGCCATCCTCGAAGCGCCGGGTGTGTTTTCGAGGCAACTCAGTTCTGCCCTGAGAGCTTCATTTTCCGCCTCTACGCTTGCATACAGCTCCCTGAAGACTCTGCAGATTTTACGGACTGCCTCTCTGGCCACGCCCCCCAGCACGGTGGACAGGTGAGCCTGCAGCACAGACGCATGGGTGACATGATAGATGCACAGGTGGAACAGGTAAAACATCTGATCTGAGGACCCGAGCGTAACTGATTTCTGATTACACAACCTGTAGACAGGCCCCGCCCACATCCGCCTGAGGAGTTCACCCTCAAGTCACAACATGCTGACTCTCTTGGAGACTGACTGATGCTCACAGCGAGTGTTCTCCATGACATGCAGCATGTTTTCAGTGCGAATGCCTGACTGACTGTCGGCCTGTGGCACGAACACCGACAGTGCTGAGACAAACACCGAAACCATCCAGCCTGACTTGGAACCGCTTCACCGAGGACGCCGTTTCCACAGCTCTTCACAATCACCTGCACGCTCAGTCATGTGACGATGTCATTCACAGATTTTCTCTGCTTTTATTTATCTTTTTATTCCGTGGACAGTTGGTGCATGCACAATGACAACAAAAGGCATTTCCAGGCCTTCCTAAACACAGGTTCCCCCCAAAGCTGTGCGCTGAGCCCAGTGACTGCAGCCCCAGCTGTTTACAGATGGCACCGTGATGCTTGGCCTCATTTCTAATGAGGGTGGTTAGCGAGGCTGCACCTTTAAGGTTTAGGTGCTGCTGTTTTCTCCTCTGTTGATGCTGGTTAACCTTAAGCTTCTGTTTAGGTTAAGTAGAGGATGATGACGTCATACCACCTGCGGCAGGTGAAGATGAGGCTGCGAACAGATCTGTTTACGTAAACTTTGGTCATGTGAGCAGTTACAGCTAAACCATGCGCGCGCACCACACTTCTGGACAAACCTGAAGGCATGCGCACTTCAGAGCTGCATATACCTGGGTCAAAGATCAAACACCTGCCTCCAGGCGTCTCCTGCGTGTCAGTGGGCGGGGCCAAAACGTTTTTTTTTAGTTTTTTTTTTACCTTTCATCCCTTCTGTAGCATGTTTTTAACGCGAAACCGGAAGTGACGGCGGATTTTGCTCTCACATAATCTTCACCTGAGCTCCTCACCTGGCCGTGCTCCGCTCGCGCGCCCTCCCTCCCCAACTCGTGCACAGCGCTCCCCACGGCTACCTCCATGATCAGCTCCACCTGCGAAGAGAACGTGCTCAGGGCTGCCATGTTGTCTTTGTCCCGTGCCGGTCCGCGCGCACACGTTTTCGGAGGACGAACCGACCGAGGAGGGTTCGGGTCAGCCGGCCCGGGTCAGAGGTCAGACGAATACGCTCTCCGCGGGATGATTCCCCGCTCTCTTTGCTACCAACATGGCGGTCTGACGCGATGGTTACTTCCGGGTCAGAAGGCGAATCTGTCTTCTTCTCCTTCGTGGTAGGACCGCCACCTGCTGGAGGAAAGGTGAAGCGCTCAACAAATTAACTGAGCGTGCGCACCCAGAGCGTCTGCGGAGACGTCACCAGAAAAATGAGAAAATGAAAAAAAAAATCATTTCCAATTCATCCTGACATAAAAGACGTACATTTTAAAACGTCAGGTGGAATTTATCCAAAAAACGATGTTATCATACTGAATGTATTTATGAACATCAGTCCAACAATGATTAAAGAAACATGTCCACAAGGTTGAGCCTGAAAGATTATAAAAAAGAAAAAACTGTTACAGTGTAACAAAGGTCAACACAAAGTGCGAAGAGAAAAAGTCCTTTACTGTATGTCAAAAGAAGAAAAGTAGAAAGAGCAGTCGGGAGTTTTTCATTCAGCCATCTTTTCATACACAGTTAAGCTTCACAGCATCTACATTTATGGATAAAAAGATATCCCTCATAACAGCACTGTCCTGGAAACAGAATGCAGATTTTATTGTCAATAACTATCCCGACGATTGAGTCGCCCTGGACTGCATGCAGCGCCACGTGCCGTTCCAAAAAGCTTGAACCCATTCACAGTGAAAAAACACGTGATGCAGGCTTTCAGTGTTGTTTTCACAGAATACACATGTATTCAGATTAAATTTCAATCTTATAAAAATCGTATTTATTATTTTGATGTTTACTTTTTTTACTTTAGGTGAAAGGGGAAGAGAAATATATTTTCTTTGTATAACCCTAATCTTCTCGTTCTTAAATTCTTTAAGAATATAACAGGGTTAGGACAAAATAGCTCTGATCGCCTTGTTTGTGTCACAAAAGTCAATTCCTGCTCTGCGGAGCTGTGTCAGTCCAGAGGAGACCTTAGAGAGCACAATATCTTCTTTATCTTTGATCTCAAAGGGACACTTTTATAGTTCCGTCAGCGTATCTGATGTTGAACTTCTTACAGGTAACAAGTCACATCCTCCTCATCTGTAAAATGGATCTCCATTCATCCACAGACTTTTTACCCAGTCGATGTACCTGTTGTTGTACTGTGAGGAGTAAAGTTATGTTTGTATATTCATTTCCATTAAAGAGGCACCTGCTTATGGAAATCTGAGAGTTTAACTGGTAATGAGCTGCAGTCTAAATCACAGTGAAGCGAAATGAGTGAATGTGGCAAATGCTGAAAAACAAAACCTGTCTCCCCATTGGTCAGTCCAAAATGTGACATCCTGATGTGTCGCTCAACCCTGAATGTTTAATGAGCCGAACAACATTTTTAAGTTTAACATAGGAGTTAAGTACCGAAAAACCTAGGACTAGCTCAGTGACAGGTGACGTTTAATAGAGCTCTATTGGCCCAGTAATAATTTTTTTAAACAAAATGGTTCATCTGTCATCACCTCAGATCGTCTCCAACCGTTTCCCAGCTCGCCTCGCTTGTTCAGTGTGAGGCCACAGCCTCCTCCCAGTCCTCCCACAGCAGCATGTCTGCAAAGTGGAACCTGCCGCTCTTACCGACAGCTGAGTCGACACTAAATCTCTTCTTTCACATGTCTCCAGAATAATGATATGTTTCTGTGCAACACATCCATAGCTTCCTCCATCTTTGCCCCCATATCAGGTGCGATTTTGGAAAGTATTCAAAGGAAGAGGTTATCAAATGAAAAATGAGAAAGGGAGATTAAGAAAGTAGGCAGGAGTACTAAGAGGCTAGGTGTGCAGATAAGAGAGATTTCAAAGGAGAACTAAAAGGCTTAAAGTGAGCTGTATGTGAGGCTGGACACCAACGAGATGAGAACTTGTATCGATTGGCAGAGACAGAGCTGACAGGATGTGGAGAATGGATGAGTTCAGGCAGAAGGGAGGAAGAAGACCTCAGAGAGGGTTCATGGATGTAGTGAAAGAGAACATGCAGAGGGTTGGTGAGAAAGATGAGGATGATCCATTGTGGCGACCTGTAAAGGGAGCAGCTCACCTTATTTGCATTTAAGGTGAGCTGGTGTTGTGGTGCTGGAACCAGGCGACCTCCCCAACAGAGTAATAAAATTCTGCTGGATTCCAGAGGGAGATATATTTCTGTCTGTAACACGCTGGACGTATTCTTGCTAAGTTTATTTAAAATCAGAATCACAGTTTAAGTGAAAACTTATGTCTGAAAACAGACAGTCACTAACGTTTTACTCAGCATTCTTTGCTTTGACCCAGTAAAACCATGAATCTGAATCCACAGTGCTAAACTATTTGACTCCAGTTTAATGATAAAAATGGCAAAAGTGTGTTCATTAAAAATCTGATTTATTTTCATCACAGTGTCACAACAGTCAATAAAAATAAACACAGACTCTGAACTCGTTCACCTGGACCCTGATCCAGGAAGCGGCTTCAGCAAACCCTGAACTTCCTGTTCCAGAAGATTCGAGCTGGTCCAATCAGCTCTGAGTATGTTCAGCCTGACAGACCAGGGCAAAGAGTCAACAAAGAGCACTCTGTCATCGTCACAGACTAAATAAAGTTTGATTTAGATCAGCTGAATCCTGATGTGACCTTTGATCTTAAATCCAACAATCGGAGCAAGTTTGCCCACAGCATCTGTTATAGAGCTGTCTGCATGCCGCTCAGACACGGTTCAAACATTTCAGGAGGAGACATTTAAATCGGGAACACAGTTCCAAAACAGAGCCGAACCTCGGTCTGATCCGCTCTGAATCTGTGCTCCTGATCCAATTTGGATCCATCCTGCAGAGTGAGTGCTGTGGACTCCCTGCTGTCTGGCATACCCACTGAGAATGTGTTAAGGTCAGAGGTTACAGTGAAAAATAAGTGTTTGTACGAACTTCACTCTGATCTCTGACAGCTATTCTACGAAATGGAAGGTCAGTTAAATGGTTGGGCTGCAGGACTCAGGGCGGAGTCAGAGAGAACACCTGCCAGTGAAAAGGTGAAGTTCACAGAGTCTGTTGCCACAGTAACGAACTCAGAGTTTAACTGAAGCTGCTTTCTGGAGCAGGACCCTGATTCAGTGCCAGCACTCCGCTCAGTCACAGAGACACCTGCCCACAGGTGAAGTACACGAATGAGAGTGAAACAGCGCCATCATGTGGACAAAATGACCTGATTTTTATGTGACTGACCTTTACATCATCATCCCGAGCCTTAAGCCAGGTGTCATTTGAAGAATAAAATATTTTATTTTTTCGTGTTGCATGGAGGAGTCATGTGACACTCTCAGGTCATGTGACTGTTCCCTCAGTGCAGTGGTCAACATGACATTACATGTATGTAATTACCTTACATACAGTACCGTCATCTTTCAGTGATACAGTAATGATGTACTGATTACATGTTGGTCCCTCTCTCTGACCGGCCTGTGCTACGGCTGCTCACGCTCTGGCACAGAGGAAAGGAGGAAGACAAACTGAGCAAGCTCAGGAAGTCTTTGTGGGAATGGACATCATCATCATCATCATCACGTTGTTACCTGGCTGCACAGCTGCGTTCAGCATCATGGGATCGCAGTAGAATCTGTCCTGCACTCTGCTGTGGTTCAGCTGTGTAACGTTCAGTGACACCGAGCGCGGTGGGAACAATGATTTAAACATTTCTCTGACAGTCTGAGGGAACGATCAGTCTTATGTTTCACAGACACTGATCCTGTTCATTGATTAATCTTAATATTTCTCAGGACAAGTTAATAAAGTTTTATTTTAATATCGACTTTTACAAACTGAAGTGCACTTGGTTGATTACAGGAACAAAAAGCATCAAATCGTTAACAAGGACGCTATAGATGACATGATCACACTCTGTGTTGATCACAGCGAGTGTGAGAGTTTGTGTGCATATCCAAATATGAAATCTCCCCATGGCTTCGAGAACATCTGTGGACAAGATGGTCAACGTCTGTGGCAGACAGGAAGTCACGTGACCTCAGAATTGGAAGACACGTGCGGTCGTTTACACGTGGCCGAGTAGGCGGGGTGTGCACGATGAGGAGGAACGGGCCTCATAATTCCTGTCAAACTTTGATGTTTGTAGAATCAGCTGAGGTGGAGACGTCACATGACTCGATTATAACCCCGGCTGCGATGCTCCTCTGTTACACAAGAGCGAGGTTGCTGTGACTTCAAATGCCGGGTGCTGCTGATGTCACATGATTTCCTGTCCTCCATCTTGTCTGTAGTCAGATGCCACGTGGCTTGAGGCTGATTTACATTTATCTGATATCCCATAATGCTTTGCTTCAGTGCTTTGATTTGACATCATGATAATCAATCAGCTCATTCACCAATGATCAATAAACTGCATTCATCAAGTGAAAGCTTTCTGCAGACCGTCATCATCATCTACTGCCCCCAAAGGAGTGACCTTTGACCCTGACAAAGCTGTCTCTCCCTGTTGTTGATGACAGTCGGGGCAGCTGATGAGAGCAGACGAACAAACAACCTGTCAAAATATTCTCTTTTCAAAATAGCTTTTCTCATCTGAATAAAAGTGTTTTCCATATAAAACACGGTCACGTCATTCTTTCACACACAGATGAGCAAGCCTTTAATTTTTTAAATATAAAAACACGATTAAGCAACATTTTCAGCCTTTTTGTTACTTTATAAATGACTTTTTTCTGCTACACAACTGTCAGACTTAAAAAAAACCATCAGTCTTTTACAGATAGAAAAATAACGAGTAGAAAGACGACAGAAAGCTCTGCTACACCCGAATGACCACGCCCTTCTAGACTCTGATTGGATGGCAGGAGAACACCCGCATGAGTGTGTGTGTGAGAGTTTGTGTGTGTGTGGGGGGGGGGAGCTGCTTATCAGGTAACCTCAGGGGCAACTTCCTGCTTAACCCATGCAAGGAAACAGATTGGCTAATCAATATCTAGATCACTGGGAAACCACACCCCTTTTCTCTGTGAAGACGCTGATTTGGACAGTGCCTTTTCCTGGAGGTGAAACTTCCTTCCTAGAGGGCTCTGTGTGAACATTACTGCCCTCTGCACAGATTGACCGATTTCTCTGATTATTCTTCTGATGGTGAACGGACCTGCACACATCAGGACATCTGCAGCTTTACTGTGGTATGTTCTTTCTTTAAATGACAAACATACCACATGGAGGAGCAGGTCCACCTGTTAGTTTTTGTATGTAACTGAAGAACGTTTGCTCTTTCATGACTATTAGATTCAGTATAACTTGAATTCATGTAAAAAAGTAAGATGCTCAGAAGGGAAGAAAGAAGTTTAGTCAGATGACTTTCAGCAGTGGCTCTGCTCTTGCTCTCGTGAAACAAGGAAGGAAAAGCATCTTTCATCACATTCAAGCATTCAGTGCACGGTGGAACCTCATCATGATCATCATTGCTGTGTTTCTCCGTTTTACACAACACTGTTCTGGGTGTTTCATGGCGCGAGTATTTGTCTTTCAGATGGCGGTGTCCCAGAACACGGTGGCAGCATGGCCAGCGGCAGTGGGCGAGGCCGAGTATGGCGGTGGCTGCTTCCTCTTCCAGCTGGGCAAGATGGGCATACTGTCCTGTTTGCACAGATTCTTATCTGGCCGCTGACGAGCTTTGATCTCTCGACATAAAACTCTCTTTTTCTCAATCATCTCCATCATGGTGGCGTCGCCACATAGCCATGGCATCTGGACACAAAGAACAGCTCGACATCAACAGACCCATACCTCCCTTCTCACTGCAAACTACACTGAGACACACAACGTTACTGTGATGTTTCACACAACTGCTGGCTGTGGACGCCCTGCAGGTTCACCGTCACATTCCTATTCCTAACCTGCTTTCTTTGACCTAGATAAAAATGTCACTGAGGTCAAGGAAAAGAGATGATGCTGAGGACAGGAATGACCTCATGTTTGTTTTTCCTTCATGATGTGACATTGGATGTTTGAAGTGCTCACACTACAGTTTGCAGAAGATGGACTACAAAACCTCCGTCTAACTTCCCTACAACATTGTTTTCTGGAGGTAATTTATACCAGAAAAGTCAGTGAAATATAAGGTTTAATTTCAACCTTATATTTCACTGACTTTTCTGTGAAATATAATATAACATCCAGGGTTAGATTTACTAATGTCTGTAGCAGCACAAGGCCGTCTTTTGATGTTATAAATGTGCTGGTCAGTTTTAAAGTCTTAAATAATCAGGCCCCATCTTATCTTAATGACCTTGTAGTACCATATCACCCTATTAGAGCACTTCGCTCTCGCTCTGCAGGCCTACTTGTTCTTCCTAGAGTATTTAAAAGTAGAATGGGAGGCAGAGCCTTCAGTTTTCAGGCCCCTCTTCTGTGGAACCAGCTTCCAGTTTGGATTCAGGAGACAGACACTATCTCTACTTTCAAGATTAGGCTTCAAACTTTCCTTGTGTTAGGGCTGGACCAGGTCTATTATTTATTTAAAATTTTATACTTTGTAAAAGTGTAGTACTTTTTTTTGTAAAAAACAGTAAGATACATTTAAAATGAGTCAGCAAAACACACACACACACACACACACACACACACACACACACACACACACACACACACTCAGTATTATGTATAAGCTTGTATGCAAACTGTATCTCTTAATACATAACTCTATTACCAAAACATAACTTATCATGTTGTGAACAATAATGATATGATTTTCTGTCCAGCCTGTTTGTGGAGTGACCTGATGAGTCTTGTTTGCCTGTGACCGTCGTGAATTGACATTGCTTTGAACAAAGGGTTAGATGCTTCATCAGTTTCCTAATGTGTTTACAATGAGCTCTGTAGTATTTCATATGGTTTTTAAATGTAAGAATAGAATCTAAAAGCACTTTTCTGATTAGTGCCTACTTGGGTCAGCTCGGCGCAGATTGACTCAGTTTTCAGGGTTTTCCATTATGTACTAGTACCTTACGTACACCTTATGTCCCATTACGTACAGGTACTTTTTTAGCACCTACTCAGCGAGAGTTCTGGGCAATCTGAGGTGATCTGAAAACATGGCGTTAGCCTAAGCAGCCCCTTTAAGCCCTGATTTTAGTAATTTTTTTCATGGCTGTATCTGTTTCCCTCATTACTGGTGTAAATTGTGATTTAACTGAGCCCAGTCTGGTTTTCTGTTATCCTTCTGAGACACACTAAGTGCCTCTGAAGGATTAGGAAATTTGGATATAAGTGTCTTAATTTCCTACTGGATAACTGAGAACCTACATGGACTGATCCCTACAGGCCTGTTCACTGTTTTATATTTCATTATATGTTCCAGTTGTGCCTTATTTCATTATCAAAATGGTGTGTTTCCCTTTTTGGCATTAATGAAATGCACTTCTCTTTTAATGCGGGGGGATTCCCATGATGCCTGGGTGTTTCTTCTTCACTCACTGTGTGTTTATGCACCTCTGCATTTAATGATGAGTTATTGTCATGTCTGACTGTGGCAGATGATGGACACAAACACAGAAACAACATTTGTATCTTTCGTGTCAGACCGAGGGCCGTGTCAGCACTGCATCATCAAATTCCTGTGTAATCTGTACTTTATTGATCCCCGTGGGGAAATCCCTCTTGGCATTTAACCCATTCTGTCACGGCTCGTAGGATGAGCCGTGTGGAATTATTAAAGGACCCAAAACGCAGGCAAAGGATGGATGATATGAGTGAGTGTTTATTTTCAAAGTGGCAAAATGACACCAACAGGCAGCGGGCGTATGAGAAGCAACTGAGGAACCCTAAACTGGGAAGACTAAAGAGCAAACCTGAAATGATAACCAAATGGGGTGAAGGACAGAGAGACGCAGGGAAACCACTCAGGATGACGGAGGAGATTAACGCAGACGAACCGGCAACAGGCAGGAGAACACGCAGGGCTTAAATACACACAGCAGTAATCAAGGGATGGGAGACAGGAGAGGAACACACCTGGGAGAAGTCACAGCTGACGGGACAGGGGAAACGTAAACTGAACACACTCACATAAGACAGAGACCTTCAGAATAAAACAGGAAACTCATAGACACAGAGGACCAGACAAGACACTGACCTTAACAGACAGACTCACGAACAGACACAGTGACACCATAGACAGACACAGACTCAGGACCATGACACATTCACTCTGTGAAGCAGTGGGCAGCCATTGGGCGCCCAGGGAGCAGTGTGTAGGGACGGTACCTTGCTCAGGGGTACCTCAGGATAGCCGTTCAGTGGATTTGGACCCCCGACCTTCCGATCATGGGGCCACCACTCTACCTACTGAGCTATCCCTGCCCCTGTATATGATGTATGTATATATGATCTGTATATGTGGTTTCGACAATAAAGATGACTTTGACTTGACAAAGGGAGTCAATACTGAACATGAAATTACAAACAAACCAAGAGGAGATAACACTCAGCTAACATGGGATGACATGACAACAAGCAAAGGAAGACAGAGGACCTGAATCCACATACAGGATGATGAGAGGATAGGCTACAGGTAGAAGCACGCTGGACCTAATACTGAACACAATGCACACAGGACAAGGGACTATCAAAATAAGACAGGAAACACACAGACAGAGCCTCAGCCTGACACAGTAACTGTGGAGAACAACTAAACAGGGAACAGAAGAGTCATGACAGCAAGTGTAAACAGAGGGATCACAACAACCAAAGATGGGAACACAATCCTTACCTCACAGTACTACACAAAAGACACATAAATGCTGGCTCCACAGACCCAGGACCATGACTAGGGATGGGTATCGTATAGGTTTTATCCAATACCAGTACCAAACTGGTACTTTTGAAACGGTGCCGGTGCTTAAAGAATGGAGAACACACACTTTGTCCAAAAACCTCTCATGTTCAACTGCTGTTTTTTTGTAAAAAGATAACAATGTTAGCCTTTTCTGCAGCTATGGGGCATATATGGTATCACTCTTGGCTGGAAGCAGTGCTTAAACAATGGAAAAAAACACAAACTTTGTCCAAAAACCTCTCATGTTCAGCTGTTTTTTGTAAAAAGATAACAATGTTAGCCTTTTCTGCAGCTATGGGGCATATATGGTATCACTCTTGGCTGGAAGCAGTGCTTAAACAATGGAAAAAACACAAACTTTGTCCAAAAACCTCTCATGTTTAACTGTTTTTTGTAAAAAGATAACAATGTTAGCCTTTTCTGCAGCTATGGGGCATATATGGTATCACTCTTGGCTGGAAGCAGTGCTTAAACAATGGAAAAAACACAAACTTTGTCCAAAAACCTCTCATGTTTAACTGTTTTCCACTTTTTCTTTGGTCATTTTAGCCTTTTTGGCCAGGGTGAAGGGAGTATCTGCCATCAAACAAGAAGACAGCCGCATGTAGCTATGACGGTGTTTGCTAGTTCACCTTACATGCATTAATGTAATAACGTGGTTAGCCTACTCAACGTAAATTACACACGAACAACATGAAGCTACTCACGCAGAGAAGAACGGCTGCTGCTGCATCATCATCCTCATCATTTCTGCTACACTGGCAGGGCTAGGGGCCAGGACTCTCCTCTTCGTGTTCTTGGGGGATGTTGCTAACTCCGGGTCTGATAACAGGCACCACACCCGCAGTAGATGTGCTCGGTGTGAGGTCTCGCAGCAAGCTATCAAATACGGCGCATTTCTCGGCTTTAAAAAACGCTATGCGTCGCCAGGTGTTTCATCAGATTCGAGGTGTTACCTCCTTTGACAGTATCACAGTATCAGCTTAAAGCACTTGTTGCTGCTGAGTTTGCATCTTTTGCTGTGAAGTACAGCCAGACTTTTGACCGCTTCGCCTTGGGCATTTTTAATCTGTAGCTCTGCTCTAAAAGAACGTACGTACCTGGCCCCGCCTACTATCCTCGGAAACGTAAAATGATTGGCTGGAATCCAAAGTGTGTGACATCTCAGGAAAAAAAAGCACCGAAATAAAGCACCGAAATGTGCACTGCTTTTCGGTCTGGTTACTACCGTTTATGTCAGAACCGGTGCCATCATGGGTACCCGTCCCTACCCATGACAGTGATGAATCTATGGCTGTCATTCTGCCCTCATTCCCAGCGGTTATGGCAGATAACTGCCTGAGCCTGAGCCTGATCCTGCCAGAGATTTCTCTCTCCTAAAATAGAGTTTTTCCTTCCCACTGTCGGCGAGTTCTTGCTCATAGCGGGTCGCGGCTTTTTCTGTATCATTAGATTACAATAAAAACCGCCTTGACATGACTACTGTTGTGATATATATATAAATTAAACAGCAATCATATTTTATGTTGTTTTGTTTTGGTTTGTGGTCTCCTGTTGCTGTTTTTTGGGGATTTTTTGGGTCCCTTTTCGTCCCATTCCTCTTTGTGTTATTTTTGTTGTAATTTTGAGTCTTTGTGGGTTTTTTGGTCTCTTTGTAGTACCAAACAGTTGTTTCTGTTTATCTGGACATAGCGTATTGAGCATATTTGTCACAGCTGCGACGGCAGACGTGTGGAGGTGAGGTAAGGACTCAAACACAGGCGCTGACTTTGATGGGATGAGTGAGCTTTTATTTATAAGTGAGCAGGATACAGCAGGAGCGGAGAATGGAATGCTCAGAAACAAAGGGGAACCTAAACCTAAATCCACAGATGACACAGAGGAAGGGTCACACAGGATGCTGGGAAAAGATGCTGGGAAAAATACACCATGTGACGGAAGCTGCGCTGGAACAGTGGGACAATTTTTGCACCTACATGTCTACCTGACTTGGACATTTGAGCTTAATACAACATATGTTAAAACCTCACTTGTTTTGTTTTGTTTCGTTGTGTTTTATTTTGTTTGTTTGTTTTTGTTTGTTTGCTTCTTGCTTTCGTTGTTGCATCTCTGTATTTGCTGTTATAAAATGCAAAATCTAATAAATACTTGAATTATAAAAAAAAAGAAACACAAATGAAAAAGCTACAAAATATTGGGTCACTGACCCAGGACCATGACAGTGTTGTCCCACTCCCACAGAGTGCACTATGTCCAGATGAACAGAATCAACTCTCTGGGATTTCCTTACCTGAATGATTGAGCATTTGTCAAGATGCCTCTTTGCAGAGTTTTGTGGTGTTTTTGCGTTGTTGTTTTTTTTTTTGTCTCGTTTTTTTCATCTATTGGTGCTATTTTTGGTTTTATTTTTAGTCTTTATTGTGTTTTGTGCCTCTTGGTGTTGTTTTTGTCCCCCTTTTTATTCATGAGCATATGAAATCTGAGTTTCTTGTTGTGTATTGATTCATTTAGCAACAGTAGGCATTATCAGTCTGGCATGTGATTGGCTGTTACTCTGTGATGTTGCATCCTGATGAATCTGTCTTTGTGTCAATATTAATAGTTACAGTTAATACTTTAAGCTTTATTGTCTTTTTTTTCTTTTATTGTCTTTTTTGAGTTAGATAAGCGAATGGACGGACACACACACACACACACACACACACACACACACACAGAAAGACAGACAGAGAAGACAATAACATGTTTTTAATTAGATGACTTTAGCTCACGGTTGTGTGTACGTGTGAAATGATCACAGCAGCTTTCGTGTACGAGGATCACTTTGACATCCATACATTTTGATTATATTATAAACAAATATAATAAGATTATAATTATAGAAACAACCATATTGTACAACATAATCATTGTTAATAAATGATTGAATTTAAGTTTTGCTTACATGTTAAAGAAGTGGGATAGATATTAGTGGGTGGAGTTATTATTGGTGGAAGTAGGTGTGGTTGCATCCACATGTTCAGGTAAAAAGTTTACTGACACTTTTAATTCGATCTTTTATGATTTAAAAGGTTTTAATTTCAGAGTGAATTTGAACAGTGTTGTTGTTAGTTTAGTGTAATGTTAATATAATGTTAGTATTAGCATTTAACTTTGTATCACTATAGAAACTACAGTATAAGTACTGGAGCATTTAACCGCATGCTGTTAGTTTCAAAATGAAAGATAAATCCTAAAGATTGAAATATTTGACATGAATGATACAAAAGTCCAAATTAGTAAAAACGTGCGCACATCTTGTCAGACTTCAGCTGATGGACCAAAGCTTCTTTTACTCTCAAGTTGTTTTATTTTCTCTTGTTCAGTTAAAACCTGTGTAAAAATATTTCAGGTCATTATCATCTCAACATGTAACACAGACAATAAACAGGTAAACAGGTGCTTTACACATGCTGTACCTGGCTTAGGGCAAGGTGATGCGGCTCATGCAGGTGACGATGTGGCATGCCACCTGGTGAAGGAACTCCTGAAGTTGAAGCTGAGCGGCCGAGCTTACCCGCAGACTTTGGTTCTGCAGATACAGATCAGTGATCGTCAGTAAACTCAAAGAGACATCACCTCAGTGCACATATGTTTGTGTAGATTTTTAGTCCTCCAGGGGTTCTGTTATGAAATAAATATATATTCTTAATGCTTATTTTCTGTTTATATTGTTTTATAGAGCCCAGCGTAGGAAAACGCCCTTGTGAGTTAGAATGTAGGCCAAAAGTCACAGAATAGACTGCACGTCCTGTGCAGAAAACAGGAAGTATAGTGCAGAGGAATTTAATAGTTCTTACCCTTTTTTTTTTTGTACCTCGGGGCCCAACCTTTCCACTACACAGTGGCCCGAGGTTAGGGCTATTACTGACACTGAATAAATTGGCGTTGCTTTTGGTTTGATTTATACTTAATAACTACATCCAATCTACTTCATTTTAACGACTAAAACCTTATCAAATAAACATGATGAAGACATGATGCAATGTAATAATCACAAAGACATTTATTTATTATGTGTATGTGAACCTGCACAAAGAACAAAATGCCAAACAGGTTAACTTTCATGGGAATCAAACTGACACAAAAATAATTCACAATTCAATTTTACTACAGCAAAAGAGAAGAAAAAACTGGATAAATAATGTGATGATAAAATAAATACATTCAAAATAATTTTCTGACTAAATGAATAACTAAATAAATAAACTGTTATAGAATGTAAACAAAGCGCAAATGAAAATATAGCCCTATAAAGTCATGGTCCCGGGTCGGTGACCCAGCGTTTTGAGTTTATTGTTATTACTTTTTAGTTTCTTCTGATTTGGTGTGAATTCTTATTTTGTATTAGTTCTTAGGAGTTGGTCCTTGTGTTTAGTGTTTTAGTGTTCTCCCTTCTGCGCTCTGTTCGTGTCCCTAAGTTAGTGTTCTAGAACAGCTTGTGAGTTTCCGGTTTTACTTTGTAAGTCAGTGTCTGGTGATGTCAGTTAGGAACAGCTGTGTCTCCATCCTGTTCGGGCCATTCCTTATTCCCTTCTGTGTGCATTGATAGTGTGTATCTACCTGTGCTCACTATCAGTTCATCTGTGTTATTCAGTCTTTCTCCGTGTCTCCCCTGCTTTCTCCATGTCATCTCCGTGTATCATCCCGTGTCCTTATGTTTTCAGGTTTGTTTATTAGTTTTGCCCAGTCTAGGTTTTAGTAGCTCCCTGTTCCTTATTTCCTGTTTCCTGTCACTGTAAATAAACACTCACTCGCACCCCAGCCAGTACCTGCATTTTGGGTCCTTCTCTCGTAACACCACATGACTGTTGCCCCAGCCGTGACATATAATCTGTGAGTGAATCTGAAAGTTTCAGCAGTAAGCCGTTTTTCATTGGCAGAACCAGAAGTTACTCTTTATATTTAAGACAAATATGCAAACAGTCACAACAGGTAACTCTCCTTTACCTGAGACACCTGAGCCTGCCTCTGAGACACGATCAAATCCGGTCTGGGTAGGGTTGGGGAAAGGATCACTCTCTGAGTCTGTTTCGGGCTTTGGTCTTGGTTGTGACCACAATGGAAAATCCTGATTCACACAGATATGTAGTTGTGAATGGGAGATGGAGTTTCACAGCTCTTAGTGCCAGACATGGGTCCTCCTTTGAGACAGCACTCCAGAAGGAGCCCACATCAAGTTTGCTCCACTGCAACTTTAAAGTGCTGTTGGTGGAAACTTCCAGAAGCTGTGAGTCCACATGTGAGGGCAAAGCAACATTTACAGCGGGATCCACAGGAAATGGGTCCAAAATCCACACGTGTCCTTCTCTGGGATCCAAAGGGATCATCAAATGTCTGTGTGAGTTGTGAAACGTGCTGACAGACAGAGTCACGGACCTTCACCTGAGGGGAGTTTTCCGAGATGTGAGACAAAAGTGGAAACACGTCCATCGTCGTCTCCTGGGCCCTCTAATTCTACAAAGGAACTGGGTCCATTTAGCTGCTGGTGCACGATCAAGAACATGATGTTGTGATGCCTGCAAGTCATTGAAGCTGCACCATCACTGCATACCCCAACACTGTCCTGCCAGTCCAGGTCGTTCTCAGTGAAGTAGTTGTCTTTTCTTTCAAAAGTCATTTTATTACACAAAGGTTTCAGAGCAACGTGTAATATAAAGTAGAGATGGCACGATACCACTTTTTTATGTCCGATACCGATACCGATATCATAAATTTGGATATCTGCCGATACCGATATGAATCCGATATAGTGTTTTTTAATCAACAAAACTGTTTTTTAAATATCTTGCTGCATTTTGTATAAGTTCATACTCAAGTTTAAAACAACAACTACACTAAAACCAAATAACCAAACAAATAGACAGGAACAAGAAAAAAAACGGGGAAGAGGGAGAATCCGTGGGTTACTCAGAAACAATGGACATTATATCTTTTACAGATTGCACATGCGAGGGGGGAAAAGAGTCTTTCCACTTTAGTGAAGTAGCTGTCTGACCAGCAGTAATGAAAGGTTTAGTGCTCTGAGACTAGAGTTGGGCAGCTTCAGGTCTGCACCAAACATAGCACAGAGTGGCTCTGGTTTAATTTGAGGACTTCAGACATTGTTTGGAAAACAGAGGTCCAAAGGTTGGTCAACAAAGGTTGGTCAACAAAGGACAGGACCAGTACATATGAAGTAATGTACCACCCCCACACCTTCTACTGATTGGATCCACCTCTGGGTATATACACACCATCTTAGCGCTGGATCAGTGCCCCCGATGAACTATCTTAAATTGAATGAGAGTGTGTTGAGCACACATCGATGTATTGTGAACTTGGCCGAGGACAGAGTCCCACAGTTCATCTGTGATATGAAAGTTAAGGTCTTGTTCCCATTTACATTTGATGGCAGCTACTGAAGAACATTGTAAGTGGGAGATTAGATTGTACGAGGCTGATATTGGAGGTTGGACTGACCATTACAACATAATCTACCGGATTGTCTGGAGGTTTTTAGGGGAATTGTGCTGTCATAGTCTGCATGTAGTGTCTGACATGTAAAAAATGAAAAAAACTGAGATGTAGCAATGGCAAATTTAGGGGATATTTGAGAAAAACTTGCAAATTGTCCTTCTAAATCCAAGTCAGCAAAAGATTTTAGACCCTTTCTGTGCCAGATGTGAAAAGCGTTATCTGTCATTGAAGGAACAAATAGGTGGTTTGCTGCAATTGGGCTTTGAAGTGAGAAAGCCTGGTAGGGCTGGGCCATATTATACTGTTCACGGTAATATCTGTACAATGTTAGGCCATGATAAGAAAATGAAATATCGCGATAGAATATGGGTAAAACGCGCATGCGCAGTGCCTTTGTTTTCATACGCACATGGCCGAAAAAGCATGGCGGCAATGGAGAATGAGAAGGGAGAAAGCGGATCATTGAGTGAAACGGATGAACCAGAATTGGTTTGTAAAAATGCTGCAACTTCAGTGATGTGGAACTGGTTTGGTGTTTGTCTGTCAGATACCCACCAAAGCACAATTTTTTTTGTAGAACATGCAAGTGGGCCGTCGTATTGCCATATTTGTCGGACTAAGGTGCTCGTGAATCTGGGAGTAATCTGGGTCCTAAAGTAAGTAAGTAAGTAAGTAAGTAAAATTTATTTATATAGCACATTTCACAGATAAAAATCACAAAGTGCTTTACAATAAGATCAGACATACAAGTTAAAATTAATTAAAAGCCCGTTTGTATAAAAATGTCTTCAGCTGCTTTTTAAAGGAGTCAGTAGAGTCTAGACAGCGTAAAGCTGCCATATTGCGCCATCGGCCCCTCTGGCCAAAAAAGTCAAATACGTATTTTTCGGTGCACGGGATTATAAGAAACATTAAGCGAAACAAAGTAGTCAGATAACCTTATCAAACCTTATTCAACTCATTCTTCTTGCTTCTTCCACTTCTGTACCATTCATTCATTAATGCTGTATTCTATCAAAGTTGCTCTATTCCTGTGTTGTTGCAGTATATGAATGACTAACCTTGTATTGTGGATGGATTATCTCAGTTGTTCTCCTGACTGAAGTTTGGTCCGTTTACAGCATCCTGCCATGCGATTGCATTTGTCTCTAACCATCAGGAACCTTCACGTTAACTTTTATAAGTGGAAAAGTGTTAGCGTTCGTCCTCCAGCTTCACTGTTTATGTTATGCTAACATAGCTGTGTCGCTAGCGATCACGTAGCACATCATTATATACCAGCTAGCCCAACTTCAGTAACCCTACAAACGTCACTGCTGTTTAGTTTCCTGTCTTCATTTATGTTGGAAGTGATAGCAGAGCTGTACATTTGATTTTTTTCAGAAATCTCTCAGTCAGAACATGCTATATCATGCTTAGGTAACTAGCGAAACTAGCGAGCTAACTTCCGCTAGCTTCCTGCTAACTTCTAACTCCGTTAAATGTAATAAATTCTGTTTTCATGGATGCCTGGAAGTTAAACTTCATAGTTACACCTGGTAAAGCAGCAATGCTGATCGTTTTATTAAAGATGAAAGAATTTAGACAGTTTTTAACTCTCAGTGATGCTGCAGTGTCGTTTGACTTTGACCTGAAGAATACGGAGTTTAGGACCCAGATTACTCCCAGCTTTAAGAGCATCTAATAGCTTCAAAAAAGAAAAATCCCAGAGTATTGTTTGATACAATTAAAAACATTGTCTCTCCTGATATTCCTCATGTACCAGTCTATACTAAATCTGATTGTAATGACTTTTTAAACTATTTTGTTAATAAGGTCGCTGCTGTCAGGTCTAATATTTCTCCATCATCCTCTCAGTATCACACTGACACGTTGCTTACCTCTGATACCTGGTCCTCTTTTACTCCTGTTACCTTACAGGACATCAGTGCTCTGCTTGGTCGAATGAAACTGACTTCAAGCCACCTTGATGTACTTCCTCCATCATTTTTCATTAGTGTGTTTGATTCTATTGGCCCCTGTATTCTGGAAATAATTAATACTTCTCTTTATACTGGCTCTGTCACGGCGGGG